AGAGAGAGAGAGAGAGAGAGAGAGAGAGAGAGAGAGAGAGAGAGAGAGAGAGAGAGAGACTCTAGTTGAACAGCAAGTCAATTCGCAGTTATCGAGGTCGATGTCAGGTCGTGATCTGTTTGGTGACTGTCCACCTTTAAGAAGTGGTAGACCACCTTCAAGAAGTGTCAACCTTCACGAAGTGCCAAACAGTCGGCGGTCAGAGGACTCTAGTGCCAAAAGCATTCTTAGGGGACCTTGCGGTCGTGTTCAGAACATATTGGCGTAGCACTAGATGCTCACCAAGCAGTTCTAGATGTTGGTTATATTGACACATCATAAGATGCCTTACAAGCAAGCAGCGGCTGCTTGTAGGACCTTCTACCCGGTATGGATCTTTGAGAGCAGAGTTTCGCACTCCACCGTGAGATCCACGTCGGATAGGTGGACCTGCCATCCTACTGCTGTTAGTTGTAGTCATCTTGAGGGAGTCGATGAGGTGAGGACCCGACAAAGAAAACTCTCAGTGAACTTTGCTGCCGTGTTTTTGGAACTTATTGGCGTAGCACTAGATGCTCAGCAAGGAGTTCTGGATGTCGGTTATATCGACAAATCATAAGATGCCTAACAAGCAAGCAGCGGCTGCTTGCAGAACCTTCTACCCAATGTGGATCTTTGAGAGCAGAGTTTCGCACTCCATAGTGAGATCCACATCGGATAGGTGGACCTGTCATCCTACCGCTGTCAGCTGTAGTCATCTTGAGGGAGTCGACGAGGTGAGGACCCGGCAAAGAACACTGTCAAGGGACTTTGGTGCCGTGTTTCGAATATATTGGTGTAACACTAGATGCTCACTAAGCAGTTCTGGATGTCTGTCATATCGACACATCATAAGATGCCTTACAAGCAAGCACCGGCTGCTTGAAGGACCTTCTACCCGGTGTGGATCTTTGAGAGCAGAGTTTCGCACTCCACCGTGAGATCCACATCGGGTAGGCGGACCTGCCATCCTACCGCTGTTGGATGCAGTCATCTTGAGAGTCGATGTGGTGAGGACTTGGCAAAGAACACTCTTAGGGGACTTTGCTGCCGTGTTTGAAACTTATTGGTGTAGCACTAAAGCAGTTCTGGATGCCGGTTATATCGACACATCATAAGATGCCTTAAAAGCAAGCAGCGGCTGCTTGCAAGACCTTCTACCCGGTGTGGATCTTTGAGAGCAGAGTTTCGCACTCCACCGTGAGATCCACATCGGATAGGCGGACCTGCCATCCTACCGCTGTTGGCTGTAGTCATCTTGAGACTCGATGAGGTGAGGACCCGACGATGTTCCAATTGGGACGTGCTCTTGTTTCGTGATGTGCAGGTGCTTACAGGCGGTGCGTTTGATCCCCTCCTCGACGTGAAGCAAAGTGCGAGGGAATCGCTCACGGCTCACACCAGAAGTGCGATTGAACTCGCACTTTGATGGAGAAGCAGTTGCGCAGTCCATCAGCGCGACGATTTAATATGGACATTGGCTTGTCATTTCTATATCACAGGTTGACAACGCCATCAAATCTTTCTGTGTAGAAGATTCATATCCATTCATACAAGTACCTCTTGTCATCGCAAACATCGAGATGAAAACATCTGAAGTCAAATTGCAAAGCACACAGAGACATCGCAAACATCGAGGTGCAAACATCTCAAGTTGCGCACTGTTTTTCCAAAGGTGAAGTCTCAGAGCGGACGACCAGTTTCCAGAAACCATTCTATGCAGAAAATTAATTCAAGGGCAAATTGCAAAGCACAGAGACTTTTCAAATTGAACGCAAAACATCATACAATGCCACATTGCAAAGTGCACGGAGGATTTTCAAAAATCACAAAGTACATGGAGCCAAAGTGCGAATATGTTTTCATTTTCCATATGGAACCAACAGTTCAATCACAAATGCACGGCATCCAAAGTGCGAATATGTTCGCATTTCTCATATGGAAACAACAACCAACATCCAATGGAGAGCACGAGATGTATTTTGGGGATAACAAAATTGGCAATCATTTAGTGCACCGCTGAATCCGTTAAACAACTTCAAGCACAAGTCAAATTGCAAAGCACACAGAGACATTGCAAACATCGAGGTGAAGACATCTCAAGTTGCCTAGTGTTTTTCCAAAGGTGAAGTGTCACAGCACACGAACAGGTACCGGGAACCGTTCAATGTAGGAAATTCATTCGAGGGCAAATTGCAAAGCACACAGAGACGTTTCAAAAAGTCATTGAACACGAAATATCATACAATCCCACATCGCAAAGTGCACGGAGGCTTTCCAAATATCACAAAGTACATGGAGCCAAAGTGCGAATATGTTCACATTTCTCACATGAAACCAACAGTTCAATCACAAATGTACGACATCCGAAGTGCGAACATGTTCGCATTTCTCATACGGAAACAACAGCCAGCATTCCGTGGAGAGCACGAGATGTATTCCGGGGATAACAAAATTGGTGATCACTCAGTGCACCGCTGAATCCGTAAAACAACTTCAAGCACACATACATTCTGGCGACAATTGGTTTTCGAATGGAGAACAAGTTCGCAACTGTCATAAGGAACCAACAGACAACATTCAATCGAGACAAGCAGAGGGGGTGAACCGTAAAACGGGGCGGCACACGCAGAACAAGGACGAGCCAAAACATATGAAAGCTGGGCGGTCGGGGTGGGGCGGGGGAGAGGGGCTTTCACACCACAACGTCTCGCGAACGAAAGAGATAAGCACAAAACAATTTGGCGACCAAGAATAAATCGTCGATATCTTTCACATGAGTAAAAGAGGAGCACAACCTCAAAACGAACAAACGCAGCATGGTGCTGCTGCGGTCTGAGAGGACATAAGGAGAACAACCCGAAAATAAACAAAAGGAGCACAAAGTTGGGATATTCACATCTGATATGTAAGCGTCTGCTTAAAAGGAACTGCACCACGTGGCTGGGATATTTACATCGGCATCTAAGCTTCTACTTCACGTAAGCGTCCGCTTCAACCCTCTAGCTGATGTTGCGCGGCAACCAATGAGAACAACCCGAAAACATACAAAGGCAGCACGGCGCTGCCGAAAGGCGTACGAGTAAAGATGACAGGTTCGTCGAAATGAAGAACCCTTAAAAAATTGCTACAGCACGAGGCTGGGATATTCACATCGACACCTAAGCGTTTACTTGACCAAAACGTCCACTGCAATCCGGTACCTCATCAAAACAACATCACAGCTCGAACCGGCCGACTGGTAGATGAAGTGGGAATAAATTCGCACTTCTGCTTATGGCATTTCGAAAAAAAAACTACGTGTATTTTTACAACAGTGGTATCATTCAGCGCCTTGGAGTATGTCCACCGCAATCCTCAGCCGGATGTTTGGAATGTCGCTTTGGGCTATCGGAAATGGTGACGGACAGCCGCAATCAAGAAATGAAGCGAAGGCGAGCATGAAAACACCACAGCTCAACCTGTCTGATTGTTGAGGGACACCACGAACAACCACCTTGGGCTCCTGGAGATCCACTTTCGTTTTTGGACCATAATGACAAACTGTTTCGTCATGGAGGTATTGCGTGAAGTTCGCAATCACATCGGAAGAAAAACCGCCATCGTCTTGTACGAGGGAGTCGTAGTACTCCAGCCGTTGTTCTCGGAAACACAATAGGGTCCAATGCACTCCATGTTTATGGACAAGAATCAAGACCATCTCGTGTGAGAAAATATCCACATCTTTTGTCCATCTCGCAACCGTATCATGTCGATAGCCGCCACGGACGAGCTTGGTATAGAAAAATGGACTGAAAATGTAAAGAGAGGGACACCCAGGCAACGCAGCGTTGGCAAGCAAGGCCAAGTACGACTCCACCACCTCGTCGGAAAGCCATTCCCCCTGAACAAGAGTTTGAAGACTTTTTCTGCTCAACGGAATTGAACTGACCCCTTTGCGAACCGAACACACCACCTCGTGGCCGTTGCTGTAATCTCCACAGACGTTCCGCAACATTCTCAAGTCCGTAGCGCTAAGCTCCTCAGTAGGCAACGGAACGCGAAAACATGATGTAGCCCCAGCTGCACAAACACCCACGAACAAGTGTGAGGAGTGAGCACAAACCCCGGGGTGGAATGACTAAGAACTGTCCGCCCTTTTCCCTGAAAAGTTGTATCTCCGCTTGTTGAATGTGTCCTTCGCGATGTACTTAGGACACGGGTCTTTCAAGACACCCCGTTTGCCATCGTCATCAGAACCGTCAGACAAAGCAGTAACGCTCTCAATAGATGCACCCAAATGTTTCCACAGACCTTCCTCCTTATCTATTTCACAAGCCTTCAGAACCCTGATAGCTCTCTGGGAAAGGAGAGGCATCTGGACCCGTTTAAACAACCCTACACTTGACGACTTCTTCGGTGAAGCGGCCAATGACCTCCCTGAAAGATGTTTCTCGCGCACGACTTTTAAAGGCTTCATGGGCAGGGACATTAACGACCTCACACCTGTAGAACATAGAAAACAACCCACAACTCATTAGTTTTTTTTTAACTAGTGGTAACAGGTACATTAGCCCATGACATCAATTCGGACGAACACAGAGCTGGCCAGTGACAAATATGCGAGTGGTCCTATTCACAAATCTTACTGTGCTCGGGAGCCCTTTGAGGGAACTCGCCCTCTTGTCGCGCCACTGCGCCAACGTCCACGGACGATTCGAGTTTCTGGACCTCGGCCACGGCTGTGTCGCTAACCAGCTCGGTGGCAGCTGAGTCGCTTGGCAAGTCGATGGGTTAATGAAGCACCATTTCCCGACCGGTACGGAGGACAGATGCTCGATCACCCTGTTCGGCACCGCAACGGGTGGACGGAGAATCATGATCTTTCCGCTCTGGATCCATGTTGATGCTGACGGCCACCTCACCGCCTTCCACGGAGGATTCGACGTTCTGCATCTCGGCCACGACTGAGTCGCTAACCAGCTCGGTGGCTGCCGAGTCGTTACCCAACTCTATGGCTTCATGAAGCACCATTCCCCGAGCGGTGCTCAGGACATACGCTCGACCACCGTGTTCTTCACCGCAACGGGTGGGCGAAGAATCACCATCTTTCCGCTGTGGATCCGTCCGGATGTCGACAGTCACCTCACCGCCTTTCTCATCGCCATGAACCCGAGCTTCCACCGCGGGTTCTTTGTCGCCAAGAGCGGGAGCTTGCACGGACGTCCACTTACCTCCCTTAACGACACCCTCTCGCGTCATGGCCACAGCCGAGCGACTGTGCAGAACCTCTTCGGACGTCCCGATCACCAGCGCTCGTGCGTGGAGCCACTTCACGTCTTCACGAGCCGGCCCGTGTCGAGTCTCCTCTCCCCGCTGTACAGCATGCGTTTCCCCCGAAGCTCCTGCACTCTCGCTGTCAGTGTCCACGGACGCACCCTCCGAAGCATGACGTTCACACTCGCTACCCCCGGTCTCCAACACTTTGCGAGACTGCCAGCGTTGGGTCTCCTCTTTCCGATGTACAGCAGGCGTTCCCGGAGAGCGCTCGTCTTCCTCAGTAGTGTGACATTCGTTCTCGCTACCCCCGGTCTCCAACCCTCCTGGAGTGGGCCCCTCCAGCACGTCGCGAGAGCGCCAGTCTCGAGTCTCAACACATGAGAAAGGAGGCGAGCAGGGTAACCCTGTGTCCAACTGAAGATGCGGGGGCCAGAACGTCACATTTTCTAGGCCCCGCGGAACTGTTGCGTGAGGAGCACTTATGGCGTAGGGCGACGACAACAAATCCGAATGTATTCGGAGTTTGTGGCGGTCGCCCGAGCTGAGGGAACTGAAGGTCGCACCTTCGCTCCTTCGCAATGCAGGCATCCCGCCCTCCAGGCAAAACGAAGACGCGCCCTCTTTCGGGAGCAAGGTGTTGAGCACAGGAGATCTCTGCTGCACACGGCGGGATGGACTCTCCTGGGCAACGGGAAACAAACTCCTCGCAGACAAGTGCGAATCTACTCGGACTTGATCAGACGTCAGGACGGCCTCGTCTCGCATGTCGGAATCTCGACTCCCTACGCAGTGGGGGTCAATTTCCATATACTCGGGACTCCCGGACGTTCTACGCTTTCCGCCCGACCCCTTTTCGCCCGACCCCTTTCCGCCCGACCCCTTCCCGCTCGACCCCTTTCCGCCCGACGCCTTCTCAACCGACGATGTCTCGCCAGTCCCCTTTCCGGCAAACTGTGAGCCGTCTCCTCCGCCACCTCCTCCGTCTCCTTCGTCTCCTCCACCACCCCCTCCCGGATGCTGACTGGTCGGCGGAGGTTGCGGCATGCGTCAGTCAATGCCACGAGATGGTGCCGTTTCGAGTGCGTAGAAAGGCGCTCGAAACTCCAACATGTTGTTGGGGTACAACTCATGTAGCTTTTGTTCTGCATACGCATCGACGTCCTGATCGTTCCTCTCGGGGTTCATGAGACTTAAATGCTCCACCAGAGCAGTTCTTGCCTTTCTCTTAAATGCACCCGTTCCCTGTCTCTTCAGTCCACTCCACTTGCCATCGGCCTCCTTTATTGCCATGACCCATATTCCATTCCTCACAGCAGGTTGGAATATCCTCGGGTGCCAGACGACGTTGTGTCCCCAGACATCCTCCGCCGTGAACCGGTGATGCTTGCCGAAGAAGTAGAGTCTGTCATTCTGCCAGGTGTCATGGTCCACAGGGAGCCTGTCATAAGGTTCGTGATCATAGTCTCTCTCTTCCTCCCCGTCATCAGACGATTGGTCGTCGACTCGTTCGCCCCGAAACACACGCTTCAAACCGGCAGGGGACGTGCTATATCTCCGAGGGCCACCTTCCTCTTCATCACCAACCTGTCCAACCACCCGAGGAAGTGGCATGGACTCGAAATCAAAGGTTTCGGAGTCGCTCAACTCCTCCATGTCTTCAGCGTCGAAAGGGTCGTCCTCGTCAAACTGTGACTTGTAGTTTTCGAGAGTGAGCGGTTCGGCCAGCGTGAGGTAAACGTGCTCCACCCTTCACAGGAAGTGCGAGACAGACTCCCTGGGTGCACCGTGGTACCTATTGAGCACATCGAACACCAGGTTTCTCCGTCGACTGTATTCGAGGTCGGTCTGACCACTCGGTCCGGGTCCGAAAAGGAAGTTCCAAACGTCCGTCCTTTTGTTCCCCGACAATTTCCAATACATGTCACGTTTGGGATCCCAGTTTCGTTCGCCGGTGGTCTGGACAAACTCGCAAGCATTGCGAGTGTCTGCAACGCGTGCCTTCACGAACTCGTGAAGGTAATCGATCATCTTCGCCTCCTTCTCCAACGCGACGACGTTTCGACCGGTGCGCAGGAGTTCCCACACGACAGACGCATGCGCCTTCCCAAAGAAAAAAACAGTTTGACCAGCTTTGCAAAAGTTTTCGAGTAGACCAACTAGACGGGACGGGTTCCGCTCCATCTCCCCGTAAGCAGGTCCTTGAGAACTTGTCACGCCACCATCCTTCCACATGCTACGAATGAACCTTTCCTCTTCCGCCACGTCGAAAAACGCCACAGCCTATCCTGATGGGTCTGACGAACAGACAACTTTCGAGCGGCCCGCCACCGTGTGTTTGGCCGGACTTGGACCATGAGCACGGGAAGCCTTTGTCGGGCTACTGGCCGGGTAAACTGCGAATGTGTTGTCTTCCAGCTTCTCGCCATTAAAGATCACGTACAGGCGGTCACACTCCTCAACCAGCATATTGCCTTCCCGGACAGTGGCCTGCTTTTGTGCATTACGTACCTACTTCCCTGTCCTGACGTCATGGACGCTAAGCCTGGCCATGCCTTTCAAGAAACTTAGCTCCCAATGAGAGGGAAAAAAAATCACAAGTGCCCAGTGCGTTGGCGAAAGTGTTTGTAGAAGGCTTTGCAAGTTGGCGAAATCGTCTTCTCGCCAGTCTGTGAGGAGCAGCGTTGTCACGCGGGGATCCCCGGGGCCCAAGCCGGGGTAGGGGTTTCACCCCCGGAACCCTGCCGCGGGGCTACCCGACCCCCGCCC